ATGGGGGGGGCACACACTCCCCATCCCTGATGTAGTGGAAGCAAGTGTGGCATTAGGCTTCTTATTTTTAAAATCCCAGACGGGGGAAGTGGGTAAAAGCAGAATACAACTGATCTGAAAGCACACAGAACTTTGGACTCCATTCACAGCTGCAGAGGTCTAATGCCACGAAATGGGAAGGCAGGGATCTGCCTGGGTCTTTGAAGGGGCTTGGACCAATCTGGTTATTTCCTCCCCCGCCCCCTTACCGCCATAGCTCAGTCAGTAGAGCATGTAACTCAAAGGTTCCTGCATTGTAGGGGGTTGGACTAGATGACCCTCGGGTCCCTTCCAACTGTACAAATTCTATGAACGTTTCCAGCTACCACACCCCTTGCCCTTGGAAGCGTTATAAGAAGCTGCTGCTGCTGCAGGAGAGGGAACTGTGAACAACATCAAGGGAGGGGTTTTTCTAGGACCAAGGTGAAACTGTAAAACTCCCCTGTTGTGTTTGCTATTGGATGCTAGATGCTGTTTATGTTATCTTGCTATATTTATAATTCTGAAATGTTGTTTTTTGGTATGCTATTATATTTGTTATTGCATTATTTTGCTGTTATTGTGAAACTGTTTTTGCACCACTTGGGTTTCGAAATGCATTCCTGTTTCCTTTGCTGTAAGCTGCTTTGAGCATATTTATTTCTGGAAAAGCAGCATACAAGTAAAACGAATTAATTTCCTGCTCCTCCTCGTTTAAAAGCAGGGATGGGAAGCCTCTGGTACTGCAGGTGTTGCTGGCTCCCAATCTCCCACTGGCCCCAGCCAGCATTAAAAGCCAAGAAGGTTTTCACTGGTGCTCTTTGGCAGGTGGCCCAAACTCTGAGCATTCTTTTTGGGGGGGCGGGGAGTAAGTCTCTAGTCCACATGAAAAGAAAGTTATGAGGCAAAATGTGCAGGTACCTTCAAAATGAAATGAGAGTGAGCGTGGTGTGTCCACCTTGTATATATTTCCTGGTATGCAGGAATGCTCCCTGTTGTTGTTATCGATACAAACAGTATCAGGACATCTCTGTGTGTGGTGCAAAAAAGTTGGCAACCCTCGATCTAAGCAAACAGAAGAATGGGCAACTCAGATGAAAGGTAAGCTCAGCAGGGACCAACCCATGCTCCGCAGAACAGAGGAGACAGCAAGAGAACTGGCTTCCAGGAGCAGCACAGAGAAGAGACCTCATTCCAACAAATCCCTCAGGATGGATCGAAAAATGCACAAAAGTATACCTGGAGCTTGCAGGATCTAGAAGCCCGAGGGTAGTGATGGCCAAACTTGGCCCTCCAGCTGTTTTGGGACTACAACTCCCATCATCCCTAGCTAACAGGACCAGCGGTCAGGGATCGTGGGAGTTATATTCCCAAAACAGCTGGAGGGCCAAGTTTGGCCATCACTGCCCTAGGGGGTCACCTCTGCTACATACTCTTTCTTGGGCTTCCAGCAAGTCATGCCACTCTTTCCACCCTCAGTCTGTAAAATGGAAACAGCTACGATCTCCCACAGGCAGGTTTCAAAGAACATACAAGGGCTTTGAAAAATGCTATTTTTATATTTTTTTAAAAATCTGCATTTAGAACTTGGTTGACACATGCCTGGAATTGTTTTGAAACAGGATAAATTAGAACAAGAAAATGGAAACTGTGTCAAGGAGAGATGTTGTTCCACTGTACCTTTCACAAACAAACAAAAAAATGAAGGGAGCTCAATGCTGCTCTTATGCAACTGAGCCCACATTACAGACACTTGTGTGATGTATTGTCTTAATATTTTTAACACAAAAGCGCATGCTGAAAGAAATGTCCTATGAATTATGGCTTCTTCTTCCTTTGAAGATGAAAATTGCTTGAATCAAAAATTACGACCTTATTGGACCGTGGGGCTGCCCATCATGCTTTGACCATGCTCTAATCCCGCCTTCCCAACCTGGTGCTCTTTGTACGTTTTGGACCAGCATGACCAGAGGGCACCAGGCTGGGGAATGCTGTTCTAATCTGTCACCTTGCCCTATTGGGATGGATCCTTCAGGCAACTCAAATTTGGTCCATGTAAACAAAACTGGGGTCACTTTTAATATGTACATACATTTATTTTTTGCACATCCACAGGGGGTTTCTCCGCTTGGGTGAGTGATGCATCATGTGACCCAGAAGCTTGCAGAACTCAGCTGGCAACCACAATGAGCTCAGCCACAGATTTCAGGGCTTCAAGAAATTGCGGAAGTTGCCACACAGCAGCTGGCTCACAAGTTCAATGCGAATGGGAAGGAGACAGTATGTGGCCTGTCCCCCAAGTAGAGACCCACATAATTATGTCAACAGCGTTTCAGTGGGTCCTCATTATTCAGGACTGGCTATGGGGTGGGGATTGCTGTGAATGGTTGGATAAATTCCTCAGGTGCCAGGTGTGGTTTTGCACCTGGCAGGGTCCAACTGCGACAATGTGGAGCTCTCTGGGTGGCAGGTTGGCAACTGACATCTCCATCTGGCTGGGCCCTCCACCTTTCTTAAGCAGAAGAGCTTACTTATTGCATTTTTATCCCACCTTTTTCTCCCTGAGAGTACAACGACACTGTGAGGTAGATTAGGAGACTTCTGCTATGGGGCAGCTATATAAATTAAGTAGGTAAATAAATATGGAGAAAGCAAAATGCCACTTAGAGAAGGATCTGAAATATTTTCCTCAGAGCTTGAACTTGTTTTATTCTGGATTGTTTAATTTGATGTTTTAATGTGTTGTAAACCGCTCTGAATTTCTTTAAAATATAAAGCGGCATAGAAATGAAATTAATAATAAATATCATGGGGGGGGGGGGGAACAGGGCCCAGACATTCTGTTGTGGCAACAGCAGCCTAGGTTTAAGGTGCCCTTTGGAGAATAGCTTCTATGAGTTTCTAACACTGCACCCAGCCCTTGAAGGAGCAGATGTCATGATGTGTTTCAGTTCAAAGATGTCTTCATTTGATTGATGCTCTTTTCCATAGAAGGAGAAGGAGGAAAAGGAGGAGGAGGAGGAGGAGGAGGAGGAGGAGAAGTAGTGGTGGCAGCCACACCAGCCTTAGTCTGCCCTCACCCAGTCCCCTGGGTCAGCTTACTTCTGCTTGTCTGCTTCCTTCTCCTCAATCTCCGTGTTGCCCTTGCAGAACTCTGCAGGGAAGAGTATGGGGACAAAACTAGAGTTCTCTGGCTCTGCTGGACATTGGCTCTGGCTCCCCCTACTGTTGGCCTCCAGGCATTCTGCCCAATGGGCACCAACCACCACTGCCTTTCTCATGAAGGAATACTGTGTCGTGACCCCCCCCCCACTTGCAGAATGAAGAACAACAGCCTAGGTGGCCATGTTGCCCACTCTTCACATGGTAAGGCCTTTGGTGTAAATGTGTTCTCTGTGTGAAAGGCTGTCCGGTCCAAGTCCGTTTCAAAGTTAAATAGCCTGAAGAAGGGAGAGCAGGAGGGGCCTTGAAGTTACCCATCAACAGTCAGCAACCAGTGAGTAGACCGAATCGGCTCATCACGGGCTTCCCTGCTGCGGTGAGATGCGTGGCATCTGTATTTAAATTGTGGTACTTATCTCTACATTATTTGATTTAGATTCACAGCCTAGATTTACTAGACTGCAAACTGAAGGGCCGGAACCACCTTAGTGCTGATTTTTGATTAACAGGTAAGGTATATTGACACAAACAAACATATTTGCACCCACATTAGCACATGCAAACTCCAGGCAAATCCGTGTCCTCTTTTTTGTGTATGTGTGACACATTTCCTCTTTGTTGAGGCAGCGTTAAGTGGTCACCCTCCTAGACACGGGTTTCCTGTCTCAACGAGAACCAAGCCACAGACATTGTTTTGAGTGTGCCGCTCAGACGGGCAAAGCCCCCCTCTGCCATTTTTATTTTTACTTTTATGGCACCTTTCGCCGTATCAGATTTCAGGGTGGTGTACAAAACATAAAAAATAAGCAATACAATAAAACACATTCACCAAAGCAGAAGCAGCCAATCAAACCTTTCAAAAAAAAAACACTAGACTAGTAGCAATCTGACTGAAAATATTAAAATCCCTGTGTAAATAAAAAGGGATGTCTAAAAGATAGCCATGCTAGGCAAATCTCATTAAGAAAAGTGCATTCCACAGGTGTGGGTATTTCTGCCCCCCCCCCCCCTGCAAAAAGCCCTCATTGTTCTTTGTTGTTTCTTACCTCAAATGGGAGATGGGCTTCAGCAAATAACCTTATGAAACTGGCAGGTTGGCATGGGAGTAAAGTGCCTCCTAAACTAGGAACAGGGAAGATGTTGCTGGACTCCAATTCCCATCAGCCCCAGCCAGCAGGGACAACGGTCAAGATATGACAGGAGCTGTAGTCCAACAACATATGGACATCACCAGGTTCTGCACTCCTGTTCTGGAACCTCCCAAAGCTAAAGAAGAATTATTTCCCCTTACACTACACCCAAGCAGATGGAAGCGCCCAGAGGAGCCTCACCACAAATCCCTATTTAAAGGCAGGGAAGCCCAACACATAGCTTATTCCTCTCACGGGTCCTACCTCATAGCTCTTTTCCTTACCTCACTGTTTACACTGCCTGCTCATTCATGGGGTATCCCCTTTCAGATCTGCATATGGGAGGGAACAGAGTAGTAAAGGTCCTAAGAGACAGGGCTGTCTCTGGAACACCTACAAACAGAGAGGAACCTAGGGGTTCAGTCCCATTGCCTCTGTATAGGAATTCTGGCCGACAGACAGCACCACCAGAAAGAGTCAGATTTCTGAATGCAAAACAGCATCTCCCAGGACACATGGAGAACTGCACTGGCAGGCAGAGATGAGCAGGTGTTATTTTGTTTTGTTTCTATTGATTTATTATTACATTTATATGCCACCTTTTCTCCAAGGAGCGCAAGGTGTTGTGTACACAACAGCCCTGTGATTTAAGTTCAGCTGAGAGGCAGTGGCTGGCCCAAGGTCACACAGTGGCCAAATGGGGATTTGAACCTTGGTCTCCCAGGTCCTAGCCAGACGCTCTAACCACTACACCACACTGCCTTTCAATTCTTAAATGCAGCAATAGCCACATCATATTACACACACACACACACACAGAGTGGGATGTGGCAGGAGGGAACATCTGTTCAAGCAGGATCAAATAATAACCCAGTAGTACTTCATACAATGTCACGAAGACTCTCACATGACAAAAACAAACCCGCATATATGAAGGCATTAACATGGGAATCTGTAGACACTTGCCCATGGACCTTCCTTCCAAAGGAGCCCAGGGAAGCAACCACACAGACAATAAAACACTTAAAACAACCACCATTCCAATCCAGATGCAGACTGGGAAAGATCTCTACTTAAAAGCATTGTTGGGAGAGGAAGGGTTTCAGAAGACGCCGAAAAGGCAACAGAGATGGCACTCATCTAATATTGAACAGGAGCGAATTCCCAAGGGAAGGTGCCACAACGCTGAAGGCCTGATTCCTATATTGTGCGGAACAGATATAGGTGATATCCTGATAAGATGGCACCTGCAAGGAGGCCCTTCACCTGCAGAGCACAGTGATCACAAAATACGACCAGGCTATAGGTGGACTTAGAATAAGACATGGGAAATCAAAGACTCGGTTCTCCACACCATGACAACACCCACTCTGGGGGAAACCACCTCGTCTCAGCCTAACCTGCCCTGTGACAAAGATAAGAGTATCACCTTGAGCTTCATGGAGGAAGGGCAGGGTTTAAACACCCACACACCAAAAATAATTCCAACAAATACAATCTTCATGGAGAAATAGCAGACATCAACAGCTGGTTTTTAAACCCCACTCCAACTAGCTCATATTGTAAAATCTGGTCCCACCCCCCTTAAGCTGGCAGGGTTGTAAGGCACAAGGAACATATTTGCATATGTGGTGGGGATGTAAATTTGTACACAAGTTCTGGAAGCAGGTTGACAAGCAGGTCACCTTGGACACTAAGTTGTGCCTCTTACCCATTTTTGACAGTGCCAATGCTGACTTTACTTCTCAATAATTAATTCTGTACCTGTTGTTTTCCGCTCGCCTAGTGATCTCTCAAGGGTGCGAGGACACATCTTGTTAGTCTATGGATCTATGGTTTCAAAAAAGTCATGTTCATTGCCATTTCTGAAAAAATCCTGACGAATAAACCATGTGCCAGCAGGGGGGTTGGCAGACCCATCCGACTTTGCTTTTGCTTGGGGGCCAGTTTGTGATTTATATAACCAATATCACTGAATTTGAGTTTATTTGGCAACATTCGTTATTATTTGGTATGTTTGGTACAAATGTGAACCTTGTATTTCACCAGAGAATATATTTTACACCACTTATTCTTTTTCAAGCTTTGTACAATTATTATTAAATTATGATATTGTAATTTTATTCTCCCTGCTTTTATGACTTCATTATTACCTTTAGCTTGGTGTTTTTGTCTGTTTGTTTGAATAAAAATTAGAAAAAGAGGGGAGGGGATAGAAGATGCTGCACCCAGGAAGCTGGTGGCACATAAACAACCCCGCAAGTTGGGAAGCTTAGCTCTGTGAAGGGTAAACTATAGTTCCCAGGATTCTTTGCGGGGATGCAATGTACAGTGGTACCTCAGGTTACAACACCTCAGGTTACAAACACTTCGGGTTACAGACTCCGCTAACCCAGAAGTAGTACCTTGGGTGAAGAACTTTTACCTCAGGATGAGAACAGAAATCGTGCACTGGCGGCACAGCGGCAGCAGGAGGCCCCATTAGCTAAAGTGGTACCTCAGGTTAAGAACGGTTTCAGGTTAAGAACGGACCTCCAGAACAAATTAAGTTCATAACCAGAGGTACCACTGTACTTTAAATGTTAGCCGTATACGCAGCCCTATATGATCTTCTGGCATTGGGTCTTCTGGAAAGAAGCTGTGGACCTCTCTTCCCAATAATATCCTTTACACACAATCAAACTTGTCAGACAAGCAATAGGAAGTGTTTCTTCATACAGCGTATAATTAATTAGCTGATGGATTTTATTGCCACAACATACAAAGGCCACAAACTAACACGCCTTCTAGAAAAAGGAGGATTAGACAAAATCATGGAAGAAAGTGGCTTCTTCTATTTTTCAAGAGGACATTCACAATTTGGTTTGTGTTTCTGCGCAGCCTGGGCAGGCTTGTATTTTCACACTCTACTCCTATGCCTCCCGTGAAAGCTGAAAATGGAACATCCAACTTTAGGAGCACTATTTCTCTGATTAAAAGGCATCAGGAACAAACAGGAATGGCCATCTCAGTCTTGCCTTCCTCGTGAGCTCCCTCGAGGAGTATCTGGCTATTAGCCACACCATTGGAAGCAAGAGTGCTTGACTCACTAGACGAACCTTTGATACCAGTCCACAAGGCTGTTTTGATCGCCTCATGTTCTTTGTTTGCCTTTATGGTATGAACCAAGTGCATAGCTGGCATAAATTGAGAGCATTTAACTCAAATGATCCCACAAGGTCACACAGCACAACACACAAGGAGCTGGTTTCTTTTGCAATCTCAGAAGGGATTATGAGGAAGTAAGCCCCACTGATTCGAAAGGCACTTGCTTCCCCACTGGGGTCTCGCATATTCAAGACAGCTAAATGCAGGTCCTTCCTTAGGAGCTCGGGTGCCAAATATGACTCTGAAGGTTTTCGTGCAATGTGCACTACTGTATTGGTACGTGTTTTATTTCAAACACCCCTTCAGCCATTTTCATTTAAAGATCGAAACACGAAAAAGCAAAATGTATTGCTGTCTGGAGAAGAGATCCCTGAAACCTGGAAGATTACTGCTTTACTCTGTTCTACACACATGGGATAAAAAAATACAGAACATATCGTTTCAAACTTTTCTGGGTCCTATCGAACTATCTGAAAAGTAATAGAAAAGAAGGCTTTCTTTTTTTTAAGAGAACGGGATGGGGGAGGAATAGAACTAGCAGAACAGCTCTCTATAAAGTAGTTTGTAGAATGTAGTGTAAAGCTACATTAGGAGGGACCTAAAGATGCAGTTTGAGTGCCACTTAGAATGTGGAAAGGAATGCCATGGACGGGGCAGAACTCGCATCCAGAACTCACGTGGAAAAACCTCACGGGCACAAACAATAGGGTTTGGGTGTTGGCAGCAGACAATGGGAGGCCCTGAATTCCCAACATGCACCACAGAATGGGCAAAAAAACCCATTCACACATCAACCCTGGAGCTGGCCCAGTGATTCCCAACCCAATGGATGTCAATACGAGGGAGAGGTTAAAACTGGCATAGGAAAACTCCGGCCCTCCAGATGTTTGGGACTACAATTCCCATCATCCCTGACCACTGGTCCTGTTAGCTAGGGATGATGAGAATTGTAGTTCCCAAACATCTGGAGGGCCAGAGTTTGCCTATGTCTGGGTTAAAAGCAAAAAAAGGAAAGAAAAGAAAAGGGAGAAAATCCTCTCCAAACCCATCTCCCACCTTGGACAGAGCAAACTGGCATGCCTCATAGAAGTATTGATTCTTCAACCACTGGATCTGTCCCCTCTGCTCCCACACACACCCCCCAAAAAGAAAGCCCCTCCACCTCAGGATTCTTCAGAAAGTGGTTAAGAATGCAAGGTGCCTTTGGTTCAGATCTCCAGACAGAATTTAGTAGGCAAGCTCCCATTCTTCCTGCCTCCTATCTGCCACATAGGTACAAAACTGACTTTACAGGGCTGCTGCGAGGATCACGGAGATAATGGGTTTGAAGCACTTTGAACGCTCTAAAGCACTGCCTACGTCCTAAGCTTTATCATTATTAAGCTATGCAACGAAAGAAAGAAAAAACAAAGAAAGAGTGCGCAGGGCAAACGCAGCACGATTAGAACTTGGACTTCTCAAGGGACCAGGATGTGTTATATAGTTGACAACCAAGTTGAGCAAAGTTCCAAGGCTGGCAGAGAAAAAATAAAAAAAATTTAAAGGCACAGGCATGTCCACACACTATGCATGCTTTTCTTTTTCCTCCCGACTTTGAAGTCCTGCCAGCTGATAATTCATCTCAATGGATGGCTGCTCCCCTTCTTAAGGGTTTACCTTTTCCTCGATGACAGCTAAGCACCCAACCAGAGTCTGGTTTCTTTCATTTCTTTAAGACAGAAAAGCAGCCAACTGGTACCAGCCTCAGGCTCGCACCCTACCGCTGAGCACCTCAAGAAAACAAAGCACCACCCAGGCACCAAGGAAGCTATTCTTCACACCCTTTGCAAAAGCCACCTTGCGCGCTCTTTGTAGACCTGCACAATGCCACCCATCGGGCACTAGATGCACACAAAAATTACTCCCCAACTGGCCACCAAGTCCCAAAGCAGCAGCAGCACCACCACCACAAGACTGGATCTCCCAAGCTATGGAGACTTGGGCACAAAAATGCAAGAGCCACGGCTCCAATTTCACACCCACAAGACTGCTCAGACTTTGCAAAAACACAGACCGAGTTGGAAACGTCCTCTTGAAAGCTAAGCCACAGTCTTGTTTTTCCACCCACGGGTCGACCAACCGCTGGCAGCTTGGCAAGGCGGATGCCGCTAGCTCTGCCGTCTTTTATTTGGACACCGAGATTCCCTGCAAAGGACAGGGACTGCCATCGTGCCGAGGGAGGTGGCACGACCCAAGGCATTTCTTCCGACAGTTATCTTGAAATAAAGAAAAGGGGGCGGCGGCGAAACTGAAGTGGTGGTTGGGTTTCTTGCCACCCCCAACCCCCGCCACCCACTAATAATATAAAGCGAACTGCAAAGCTGACTTCTGAAGGCACCAGAAGCGCCAACCACACCCACACGTGGCACACAGCACATATCAGCCTTTTCTCCCAAGCTCCGGAAAGAGAGAAAGATCCACGCGGCTCACAGATTTTTTAAAGAAATGAATGTGCAATAACCCATCCAAAGATTTCTTCCCCCCTCTAAAAAAAGAAAAAAAGCAACCTTAAATGGGAGACGCTGCAACAGCATTTAGTGATGAGAAAGTCAGGAAGAACCATCAGCCTAAACCCTGGGATGCCTCTTTGACCAGAGCATGGGGTGTCCCCCCTCCACATTTACACATGAAACGTTTCTTCCAGAAAGTAAGTCAAAGTAGGAGAGACGGAAATAGAAAATGGGTGGGGGGGATAAGGGTGCGTTTCCAGAAGAACGTGAGGCTTTATAGAATCAGAGGGAAACCTCTTCCCTTCCACCCTTGTCGCAGGCGGTGGCGTGGGGGGGGGGGGAGCGGACAGCCCCAGTGACAGCTGGCCTGAGCTACTGGAAGCAACAGTTGGTTTTATTAAGCAGCCTCATGGAGAAAAGGATGGGGGTGTGTGGAACTGGAATTGAAGAATTCACACACAAACACACACACCTCAAAACGGCACCCCGAAATATCAGGCCCGCAGCTTTGCTCACCAAACTAAGGCAGCAATTCCGGATTTAGCAACTTGCGCCAGGAGGGTGCCCCTTAAAAACTACTTTGGGGAGCGCATCCGATTTCAGCGCAACGGCTGCAGTTCAGAGGGGTGACGCGAGGATGAGAGATGTCATTGGCGAGGGAGGGGGTGCCAGGGGACGGGGAAAGAGAGAAAGACGGGCGATCGTCTCCGAATCAAAACACAACTTTGGGAAAAGAGGAGGAGGGAGGAGGAGGCAAGCGGCTGGGGTTTTGCAGTGTAATCCTAGACTTCGATCGGAATCTAGCAGGAACCAAACAAGCCCAAAAAGAAAGAAAGAAAGAAAAGAGAGACACGGACAGACTCCCTGCCCCCTCTCGCAACTTAACGCGCATAAAAGAAAACGCAAGCAAGCCTCCTTTTTACGCCCGCCGTCTCCCAAACACACCCCGAGCAAAGTTTGCCAAAGAAAGGGAGGCGGGTATTCACGCTGGATCTCTTACCTGAAAGCAGGTCTCCTTTTTTTTCTCTCCCCTCGGTCGTCTTCTCGGCTTCTAGGGCGCGCACGAAACTCTCCACCGACCCCCCCCCTTTTGCGCGCGATAGACTCAGAAGCGAAGCCTTCCTTCCCGCGAAGACCAGGAAAGACAGGCAACCCTGCGCGTCCAGCTTTGCAAAGTCGCACCGAACTGCTTGCTCGAGCTGCTTGCTAGCCCTGCTCGTGCGGGGACTGGGACGGAGCAGCGGGGGGAGGAGGAAGGGGAGGAGGCAATGGAACGTTGTGCTGGCCAGGGCGCGCGCCCCGGCGCTCAGCAGCCATTAAAGCCAGTCATGTGCTTGGGTGAAACTTTACACTGGAGCGCGGGGCTGAGGGATGGGAGGGGGGATAGGAGACCGAGGGGGGAGGAGACCGAGGGGGCCCGGGCCACGCCTATTTCCATTTTCCCAGCCAATGGCGCTGCTGCGAGAGACGGGAGGGAGGAGAATGCGGGGCGGGGGGGGCGGGGTAGGGTGGAAGAGCTGCCCTTGGCGGTTCAGAAGTAACCCTTTGAAGTGTCTCCGGCTTTGTTGGGAGACAGGGAGGGGGGAGCGGAACTTTCAGCCGAGACTGGCGGCGCTTACTCGGAAGCAACACTCGCGGGCTTCCGCGGAACTGGCTTCCGAAGGCTGCAATGCATGCCCACAGCTGGGGCGCACGGTGCAAGCCTTGCCCGCGTCTGTTCAGGAGTCAGCCCCGCAGCGGGGCTAATTCATGTAACGTGGGTGGGTGGAGATTTGCAGAATCGCTGCCCTGATTCGCGAGGCGATATGGATAGGATCTCTCGAGGATCGCCGCAGCGCAACCCTGTGCATTGCGCCTTTAACTCCCAGGGAAAGCACGAAGAAGGAAGGAGTTGCAACTTCTGGAAAGGGAGCGCAACATTTCTAAAGAGCGGGGTGCCACGGAAGGTGGCGGGCAGCTGTTAAAGAGGCTGAGCTGTGAGCCAGATAACTGCCCCATTCACATCTCCCGCCTCTGTCCCAGCCTTTCTGTCCCAACATGGGGTGTGGGGTGGGAATTACAACAGCCCTGGCTTACTTTGCAGGATGAATGAGACCGTTTTTGGAAGATAAACGTGCTGTTATTATCACCAGCATGGAGGCTGCGTATGAGACACCCTCTGACCTGGGCTGTCTCCCTTAACCCAAGGTGTGATTGAACGATGGGGCAGCAAGAGTGATGGATTTGAATGTGGAAGGACTACGACCAAGTCCCATCTCCGCTGTGGACTCTCTGTGTAGACTGGAGGAAATCCCTCTTTCAGCATCCATTTCCCCTCCCTGTAAAACAAGGAGCAACTTTTCCACCCAGGGATGTTTTGAATAATTAAATAAACGTTGCTCTATTGCATGGATAGGCAAACTAAGGCCCGGGGGCCGGATCCAGCCCAGTTGCCTTCTAAATCCAGCCCGCGGATGGTCCGGGAATCAGCGTGTTTTTATATGAGTAGAATGTGTCCTTTTATTTAAAATGAATCTCTGGGTTATTTGTGGGGCCTGCCTGGTGTTTTTACATAAGTAGAATGTGTGCTTTTATTTAAACTGCATCTCTGGGTTATTTGTGGGGCATAGGAATTCATTCATTTCCCCCCCCCAAAAAAAATATAGTCCGCCCCCCCCCAAGGTCTGAGGGACAGTGGACCGGCCCCCTGCTGAAAAAGTTTGCTGACCCCTGCTCTATTGCATTAAACAAGCTATAAAAGTGAGAATAGCTACCATGGCATATGCCCTCTGGCAAAGGTGGCTAACCTGTGCCCTTCCAGATGTTGCTGGACTCCAAACTCCCACCAGCTCCAGCCATCCTTAGCGCCTGGAGGTGCCACAGGTAAGTCACCTGTGCGGCACTGGTAATGAGGAAGCGCACATGCTCTCTGCACTTTTTGCTCTGCTTCTGCATGTTCTGATACTGACAGCACAATCCTATAAATGCCTACATGAAAAGGAAGCCCCATGGAGCTCAACTGGTCTTATTCCATGAGGATAGGATTGCAGCCTGAGGGTGGCTTTTCTTTAAAAAGGAAGATTGTAAGGTTCCACGGCAGAGCCTTGCTTTGGATTAGGCTGTAAAGGGAACCATAGAGTCGGAAGGGACTCCAAAGGTCATCTAGTCCAACCCAGGAATTTTTTGTCCAACATGGGACTCGAACCCACAACCCTGAGATTAAAGAGTCTCAGGCTCTACCACCTGAGCTATATGCAATCCCGGAAAGCGAGGTACCTGTGAATGGCATGTGTATGAGCTGTTTGGGGAGAAGCACAGATAATGCATTTGTAGAAGAAGAAAAAAATATAATTGCTAAAGAAAAGAGTGGTTAGGGTGTTGGACTGGGGCCTGGGAGACCAGGGTTCAAATCCCCCACTCAGCCATGAAGCTTTCTGGGTGACCTTGGGGCAGTCACAATCTCTCAGCCCAACCAACAAGACTTCCAGGACCGATATGAATAACAATGGTGATAAAGGACACCCATGTCTTGTACCCTTGGTTATAGCAATATTTTCTGTCAATACATTATTAACAATTAATTTTGCTCTTTGTTCAGAGTATATTGCCTTTACACCATTCACAAATGATTGACCCATATCCATAAATTCCATATTCTTTAACATAAATTCCCAAGAAATATTATCAAATGCCTTTTCCGCATCAACAAATATCAACATCGCTTGCTTATCTTTCTTATTAGTCAGATATTCTATTATATTTATTATGTTTCTTATATTGTCTTTCATCTGCCTCCCTGGAAGAAATCCTGTTTGGTCCTTATGAATCAATTCCTTTAATATCTTTTTCATCCTATTTGCCAAGATGTTAGCAAACATTTTATAATCATTGTTCAATAGCGAAATTGGCCTATAGTTTTTAACTTGAGTTAAGTCTGAATCCTGCTTTAAATAAAAGATCCAACTATATTGGTTATTTTGTCCAAGGTAGTAATTGAAGGGAGGGCTGAACTTTGAAATGAGTTTCTGTTAAAGGAACAATGAATCTAAAAGCCCAGCTCTACTAAAGCCATTATGTCTACAGAGCAGGTACCTGTTCTCTATCCCCGGTTCACTGGGAAGCAGCTGTAGGCTCGCAATCGTGCAGGGACATCAAAATGAATTCAATTAAGTCCAGTTGAGGTCATGGTGCCCAGGCTTAAAATCCACGTGGCGTCTTTTTCTAAGAGAACTCCAACCGTTTATTTTAAGCATTCATTTCTCTGCAGCCCAAGAAGTTAAGACTCTTACACTAGAGATGGCAGACTGCAGTCTTAGGTGGTCCACATGCTTTGTTTTTTAAAAATAAAATCCCCAAGATTGATTTTTAATTTACAAAGCAAGAGTGCATACTCAGAATCTCTTCACACTTTAAGACATAATTAATTTGTGTTAACACGATCCTGAATTATGCACACATTTAAGAAAAAGTGTCTTGCAGACAAAAATCCACTCAGCCCAGCGTAGTGTTTTTTGTTTTTTTTACAGAATCCCAAACAACCAGCAAGTCCCTAGGTATCTACCAAAAACGTGTCAGAGATGCCCATCTCTGCTTACCTAAAATTCCTAACCTGTATGTCCAGGGATGCTGCTGTGCCGTGAGGGAGCTGCCAGTATGCCACAAGTTGATTAATCAATTAATTAATTGCAAGCTTCTGTGAACTGAAACATTCATCCCAGAGTTGTGGGTTCCAGTCCCACGTTGGACAAAAGATTCCTTCATTGGACCAAATGGCCCCTCGTAGTCTCTTCCAACTCTACATTTCTATTATTCCATGATACACAGAGGATGTTGCTTGCTGCATCCGCATCATTTATTGCTCTAGTGTTGACTCCATCCAATCAGCTTCCACTTGAGAGCAAGAAATTCTGCCACATCTCTCTGCACTATACTGATCAGTTCGGTCATTTGCAATGAGTAAAAAGGGACCCCTGACCATTAGGTCCAGTTGTGACCGACTCTGGGGTTGTGGCGCTCATCTCGCTTTATTGGCCGAAGGAGCCGGCGTACAGTTTCCGGGTCATGTGGCCAGCATGACTAAGCCGCTTCTGGTGAACCAGAGCAGCGCACAGAAGCGCCATTTACCTTCCCGCTGGAGCGGTACCTATTTATCTACTTGCACTTTGACGTGCTTTCGAACTGCTAGGTTGGCAGGAGCAGGGACCGAGCAACGGGAGCTCACCCCGTTGCGGGGATTCGAACCGCCGACCTTCTGATCGGCAAGTCCTAGGCTCTGTGGTTTAACCCACAGCGCCACCCGCGTCCCTTTGCAATGAGTAGACGGAGCCAAACTCCCTGAGCTCACAGAATGCTGCCCACTGGACATCTGTATCAAAAAAGGGGTCCTCACCACTCCTCTAAAAATGAAATTGTATCAGATATAGGAGAGAACTACCTAGCTCTCAAAGTTGTGGAAATGCTTAAATTATTGAGATTGCCAGGTCACCTGATGCTCAGACTCTCATGGGACAGAGCCTGGGAGCAAAGCAGTTGAGTGTCACAGAACAGAGGCTTATGGGGACAGAGGATGATCAGTGCTGGATTTCGGGCGGTTCCCCCCATACAGGATTCAGCCCCTGAGGGAGCCTGAGGATCCCTACCGCTGGGGTAGAGTCTAGCTTTGCCTAATGACCCAGTGTTGGACCTGATAAACACGGGAGCAGAATGAACAGCAGAATCTCTTGAACCAGGCAGAAAATAAGACTTGCTCTCAAAGGTAGTCTCTCTTTTTTTCTCCTCCAGCACAATGTTCCAGGAATGAGCACTGATGCAACTAAGCTCGAAATTATATCCTCATTTTAAAAAAAGTTTAGATACCAACCTTTTGGGGCCTAAAGGTAACCTAATTAGGATCCCGCAAAATTGGAATAATCCCAGGATCAGAACCAAAAGCATTGTTTTTCCTTTTTAAAAAAAACAACTGTATGTATGGGAAATCAATTTTGTTGGGTCTTTAGCTCTGAAGCTATCCAAAAGCCAAGACTTAGCTTGCACTAAGGGGTGGGTCTGGCTGTCCTTGCCAGAAGCAGAAGAAAACTGTCTGCACAAGGAGCAACTCCCCCTCCCAATCAAAACTCCAGTTTTACACACACACACACACACACACACACACACACTATGGCAAAGGCTGCATTTTCCTTTGCCAAGCTCCTTGCTGTCCATTTATATTAATTGCCAGAAAGGGACCGGAAACGGATCTGAGGGGGAGGAGAAGCAGGAGGGGGAAGTCTCTCCCCCCCCTTCAGTCCAGGCCTGATTTATGGCCTGGAGTCCCAGGCGGGAGTTTCTGGGCGTCAAGATGGGGAGGGTGGAGAGAGGGGGGGAACAGAGATGAGATGGTCTGAAATGGACATCTTGCATCTTGATGAGGAACAGCAATGCTTTTCCAAGATTGGGGAGGGGAGGGGAGCGTTTTGCTAGATCCATTTGGCTCCTGTGGCCAGCAAACTGGAGTGGGTCTGCCTGCATTACAGGGATGGGGTCTGGGAGCTAGGATTCCTAGGTTTTATTTCCCCCTGCTCCCCCTCCCCAGTTCTGGGAAGGAATTCAGGTCTAGCGTAATGGTTTTTCGGAGCACACAACAGAAGTCGCTAGGGAGGCACAGATCTTTGCCAGGAAAGGCGCAAGACCCTTGCCAAGGTGTGTCTTGATCCAACTAGGAGGCAGCGACAACCCATATATCCCTGTGTTCAAGGCAAGACAGATGGGGTAGGGGGCTAGGCCCTCCAACCTCTGTGCTACATGTTAGTGCTGGGTAGCTAATGGGGGAACCCCTCTATTCCCCTTTATAACACTTGTTTACTCTACAAAGACCCTTCAGAGCAAACTGTGTGTTTATGCAACCCCACTCTTTCCTCTTCCCCTTGGGTGAGCACACAGCTGTGCCCTCCTTTACCTCTCGTGCCCCACGAAGGCAGGAACAAGAAGAACGCTACGCAACCGCCATGATTCTTGCAGTTGGCTGCTTTTCCTTCCTCTGGTTGCAGCTAGTACACTGTCTGAATTGCCTTTCCACATACTTTGCTCTAGGTTCCCATGCTGCTGCTCACAGCTGGCCAAATTCAGCTCAAGGGGTGGCATGCAAGAGCCTTGGACAGTATTCGTTGACCAGCAAAGTTCACCATGGCAAATTGTGACAACTCTGGACACTAGGAAGGCTTGAGCAGCACATGGCTAAGAAGCAGGACTTACTTGTCCACTTGGCCCTCTGACACTGACTTAGTGTGAGTTCCTCAAAATCTGTTCCCCCTTTGTGATATTGATCAGAGTATATTTAAAATGAGCAGTGGGAAGGGAAGGACTGGTGGGTTGTTTGCTAAGGAATGATCATGTGTTAAAACCCAAAGGCAACCTTTTTTTAAAAAAAAAACCTCTTGCCCATCCTCTTGCTATTAAAGATACAGCATTCATATATTCTGAATATTATTTTTGCAATCTAGGATGAGCACTGTAGTTCAGATCTCCAGTTCCAAAGGGACCAGGCGCTTATCAGACCAACATGTGCTTTCTCTCAAACCATGCAAAGTGTGCTTTCATATGACCTAACTCACCATGCTTGCAGAACCTGAAATTATTACTGTAAAGAAGCAGTGGTGTAACAGGGGGGAAACTTTTTATGTGTGGCGGTGCAGGGTGGGGGGTACACACAGACAAGGAAACACGGTATGTAGCCACAAGGGTCTCAATATGCCTGATTCCCCTTTGAGAGCAAACGCGTCTCTATAAGCATGAGATCAGGACTGCAGTTCCACTTTTCTGCAGGTGAAATTCTGAAGTCTGCACACCCTAGAACAGACTTCAGATTTGGCACAAAACTCTCCAAACCCAGAAATCGCAGCAAACAGGTTCAAATGGCTTCAGCGGCAACTGCAATAGCCATGCTCTTAAATTATGGCTCTCTCACCGCTCAGAGGCAGATGCACCAGCTTATCTAACAGAGGGGCATGGGCCATTTTAATCTAGCCTTTTAAATGTACTTTAATCATCCTCTTAGCAACCCTCCAAATCCTTCTAGGATCGTATCCAGTATTAAGACTATAGAGTACAATTTCTGAATCTACTCCTCCCTGAAGGCATAGTGTCCCTATTGTTAATTTAACCTCCCTGGTGCATACTTACTGCACCCAATACTGATCTGCCCCACTTCAATTTCTTCCCTCTCGCTTGGTTTCGCGATCCGTTTCTCGCCCCACAAGCAACTGGATCCCAGCAGAATGG